CGACCGCCGGTGACGTCGGCGGTGATTGAGACGGTGCAGCCGAAAGATCGTCAAGCGCAGAATGCCAGATTAGAGGTCGAGAAGGGAAGGGTGAGCTCGACGGAAGGGCCGAGTGCCACAGCTGGTGGTAGATTCAGCGGCAACGGAGAGAACGACTCTAGCGCCGAGAGAGCCGAAGTCCGCCGAGGTCGGTGAAGTGGAGGCAGATGACGCCGGCTCGAAGGAAAGCTGGCGGGACAGAGGTGGAGCGAGGAAGGTGTTGGCCGGCCCATCCGTTGCAGTGCGAGTGCGGCGGGATACGCGCGGCGCGGGGGCCGTTGAGGTTTGGAGGTCGGGGTTGTGGGAGCGCGTACGCGCTCGGGTCGTGTGTACCGCCGACGCTAGAGCAGCGGCCGGTGGCGGAGGTGGTGAGTCCTGAGCGGACATGGGTGGTGGAAGGGCGCGGGTGGGACCGCCGACGCCGGTTGAAGTTGGTTAGTGCGGTGGTTGTCGAGGACCGCAACGGTGCTTGAAAGTTGCCCATGATGCGGCTATGTAACTGGCCTGGTCCGAATACGGTCGAAGAGGTAAGAGGGAAGATCACATCGAGCTCGGCGCCGCGTCTGATCAGACGACTCGCGTGTGTCTGGCTAGATTGGCTCGCGATAGAACGCCAGATCATATTCTTGTGCAACGCCCGAGATGTGCATCCCGGAACGACAGGACAGATGACATTTCCACGCCGAATGTTGAACGTTTTGCAAGGGGTCAGTAGTACAGGCACTTGATCAACTCAGAGTCCCGGGAAGGTATCATGTATTTTGAGCAACACGACTGAGGCAGGCTGCCGTGACGGTGATCACGGCCGATGACACGTTCGAGGCATTTTCGCGTCTACAGCACATCTACATCCAACGGTACACAGGGGCCTATATGATATACCCATCACCTACAACCCAGCGGAACCAGCGCTGAAAAACCCAGTTAACCGAGCAACTACCCCTTCACCCACCGAACTCCTTAGCCACTCCAACCTCCTCGTACGCACATCCGCGTTCACAGCGCCGAAACACTCCTCCGGGACCACCGCGCCACCTTCTTTCCTCTGCCAATACCCGCACACCTCCCTCACGTTACCTCGAGTCCACCCTGATCGGCCACAGCCTGCGACATCTACCTTGCTGTCTCCTCTCCCGATTCGTCCTCGCGCAGATCGGGCCAGATGTTCGCGGCGACGTAATGTACGATGAGCCAGCGCAGCATACCGCTGAGCTTTCCGCGTCCACTCTTTCCCACTAGTATCGCCAGCTGCGCGCCGAGTACCTGCGCGTCTCTCCACTGGCCAAAGGATCTGTCCAGCTCTGGCTGCGAGTATATGCTGCGGCAACGTGCGTATGACGGAGAGCGCCTTTGCGTGGTCGGCGTAAAGCAGACGACGATAGTCCACTGCGTATGTTCGGGATAGGCAAGGGATGAGGAGTGCGTCGAAGGCAGCGTGGCCAAGCGAGAGCGCGTCGTAGAGCGACGAAGTCGGTGTAGAACTGGTAGAACGGTGTGCCCGTGCCAAGGTAGCGCACAGCGGCTGCCTCGAGGGCGGGTTCTTCGTATTCTACACTGTCTGTCTTCACAGGTGTGACATCTAGACCACTTAAAGATCGTTCGAGCATATACGGCGCAGTAGCTCTTCCATTAGCCGCGTAACGACCGCATCTCGGAATACCTCGCCGTCGCCTCCCTCTTCAACCGGCACACCTCCCTTGGTCCCATGTGCAAGCATGAAGACCCTCATAAACCCTCGGACCACCTCCGCACGGCTTATCGCAAGTGCCCAGTCCATTGCTGACGAGCGCCCCGCGCACCACACGGGCGAGAAGCAAAGCGACGCGCACAAGCTCGGGTTCGCCTGCGCCTGTATCCCACTCGCGTGGGAGACCGCCCGGCGTAAAAACGGGTGGGGTGCCGAAGCGAAGAAGGTGCTCGAGAGGTAGGAGAGGCCGATCGCGACACAATGAAAGTGCAGCGGAAGCTCCACGACGACTGAGCGTCCAAGGCGCAGATAGCATCTGTGCCGTACCATCTTGATCGACCGAGGCGTAGGCGAAAGCGGCGCGGTAATCGTCTCTCCGTCTGCTTCCTCGCTCTCCTCTTCATTGCTCGACCCGTTGACAAGGTCTGGAACGATAAACGGCGTGAGTACGTTCATCGTTCCATGAGGCCCTGGGCGGGCCCAGATAGCCGATGGAGACGAAAGGTCGTCAGGAACTCGGGGGTGATGCATCCTAGGACGTGCGCAATGAGCTCGCGCGCTGCGTCCTCGTTTCCAGGCCCAAGATGAGGCAGAACCGCGAGCACGGTGGCAAACCACGTAGCACTATCAAGCGGGGTTTCATCATCAGCCAGTCCGACTGCAGCGGGTTTCAGATGTGCCAACCCCCTCAGAGCGCGCTGAGGCGTCGACCGCATATGTGCGCGTAAGCCGGTGACTTCGGGTCGTGGCATTTGTCAAGCAGCGGGCTCTTGACCAGTCGGAGGACAGAGGATCGCAAGTTGGCGAAGGAAAGCGGGAAAGGTAGATAGGCTGTTAGATCGTGGCTGTTGATCTTCGATGGAGGGCGCTACCAAAGACTTAGGAGGTGACACTTGCTCGGGTGAACAAGACGCGAGCCATGGCCTGAGTGCGGTAGCAAGGACGTCCGACGACGCCGCCATGTCCTGCATCCGTGCGAGCGAGGGCACCCTATCTTGGACTTCTTCAACTGCACGTAACATCTTCTTGAATGCGTCCGATGCCCTAGCCACGGCCTTCTGCACCACACGGCCTTCAAAGCTCGCCCTTTCCCATCCGCGCCCTCGAGCGCATTGCGCCTCTCATCTACGCCTCCCCGCTCGCCATTGATTCTGGTGCCCTCCATATACGCCGCATGCGCAGCAAAGAGCGCCGCCCAAGTCCCATCGTCTACCGTGTCCTCGCCTGCCATAGTCCGGCCCGGCGCCTTCAACTCATCCGCCCATCCCCACGCAACAATCTGACTCCATCGAATGCCATGCGGCGGGCTGGCAGCATGTGGATCAATAGCGCAGATGATCCAGCGCTCGATCGACGTCGCATATGCCGCGCGCGCGCCGGTGGGGGTAGTCGGCGAGGACATATAGTTCGCTAGTTGACCGACAGGTTCTTGCGCTGTGCTCGCTATACGCGCGCTAAATCCATAGCTTGCAAGTTCAGTATAGAACCTCAGCGTCTCCTCGAGTTGCACATCGGCAAGCGTCCGAGGATACGCGCTATCAGGCGGCGGTATGGCGATGAAACGCAACAGCGTATCAGCGGCGCTCCGGAGCTCCAAGGCCGCCGCGTCGCGCGACATCTCCGCTATAATCGTGAGCGTCTATCGCTTCGGCCGCCGATTGTGTCCCATCTCCGAATGAGGGAGTAAGGACCAGTATGCGGAGGATGACTTGGACGAGGTTAGGCGTATGCGCTGCTGTAGAGGCCGAGTTTGGACTTTGCTGTGCGAGACGGCGGACGATGGCCAGGAGGCGGAGGAGGGTGGGTAATGGTAGGGCGCCGGCTGCGGAGACGCTTGCTGCCTGTTCGAAAAGGGGCGATAGAGGGATCGTGCGAGTGCTTCGATGATCCGTCAAGCTTCAAAGCGCATCATTCGCACCAGCGGCGAGCTCGGAAGGTGGCGCGCGAAGCTCGATGCCGCGCATCTCCGCCAGGTCGGGTTCCAGCTTCCGATGCACTCCCATAATACATCTACAGCTCTCGCCGCCACACCTCCCGAAGGACCCAGAGCAGTCGCTCCGGCTGCGACCGCGTACGGCCTCTTCTTTCCCACGGAGCGTCTCGAGTCGATCTTCGGCATGAGCGACGCCGGTTCGGTGTAGTTCGCCAACTCGATATACGATCTTCGCAAGTACACCAGGCATAGCCGCGCGTTGTGCCGGTGCGGTCGGACGTGAAAGCAACAGAACATCCGCGCGGATCCGAGGGTGTATACCCCGCTCGTGCGGCACTATCCGCATGATGATGCAGCCCGAGATGCGTTGGCAGGCTCTGTGCAAGGGTAGGCGGTTTAGGCGTGCCCGTCAAGTCAAAGCGGGGTTCGTCGGTGCCGCTGCTAGAGTCGGTCACAGGCGGGAGGTCGGACATCCATTCGAGTGCTGGGTCGTCGGTGGACATGTGCGAGAAGAAGCATCTGCGGATATTCTCGGAGGTACCTTCTTCTAGCTGAGACGACCCTGGACGCAGAGCTGGGACCAGCATCGTTCAATGACGCCGTAGAAGCGTCGCAATGTCCACTGACCGAAGGCATCGCCAATGTGCCCTGGAATGTACCGAGAGAGACAACTCCCTCAACATTTCCCGTCGGCTCTGGCAGAGCGAGTGCACGGCGCTTCGGCGACGGAGGCCGTGACTCGTAAACGTGTATGGGTGTAGGTGCGTCCGAGAACCGAATGCGTCGACTTGGCTTACAGGCGTCGGACTCAAAGCTCGAGAGCCTGCACGAGACAGGATTGGCGCACGTGGAGAACGGGATCATGCTGTTGTACAGATCCGTTAGATCTAAGTTGTTCATGTTCGTTCTTAGCATAAACATACCTCTACAAGCAACCTCAACTAGGTCTGGGAAAAGCTTGAGCATAGTTTCGGGAGTGAAATGAACGCTGACCCTTACCTGGCTTTTCTGCCTTCTCGATCTGTCCTAGCAAGCAATGGTCAATAACTGTATACATATCATGAGGAAGGGTAAGAGTGCACCTGGAGTGACCTTAATCCTAATCGTATTCTCCTTCTCGCGTTTCCTTTGCTTTCCGAAGAATGGCCCCGACTTCCGATCCAAACCGCGCTCGAATATCCAGCCGCTCTTGTGCCCCTGGAACCAGTTTTACGCTCGAGTACCGAGCCGACAAGCTGCTTCGACTCTTGGTTCATAGCAAGATCTAGTCACACAGTCCATGGAACAGTATTAGATGATAGTATTGATCGTTTCTGGGGCTCCCCAGAGTCCGCTCATGAGGGTAAGAGGCAAGGGTCAAGGGAAGAGAAAGAGGCGAAATATGCCGCGCCACCGAGTGACAGCCCATCAAAGTACGTGACGGCGCGCGTTTTGCCTTCGCCTTCCATGGCTCACCCTGAAACCGCGACGAAGTGCCGCTCTCTTTGACCGCTCTGGCTCAAGGGCGTCCCCATGCTCTCTTTGTATCCACTCCATGTGAACCGACAATATATGTCACTTTACATGATTCTCACAAGCTTGACTTCTCAGACCCCCCGCGGCATCAGGTCAGGCGGCGCACTGTACCTCTGCAGCAAGTCGCTTCGCCGTTCGCTTCCAAGCGTTCCCATCATGTTCAAGCTATTGTATTACTCGTGAGCTGCCGTTCAGTGAATGCTAGCCAGGTACTGCTTCGCGTATCGCGCCGCTTGACGACTGGCACGCGCGCTTGCGCGTTCTTTAGGGATAGAATCGTGAGGGCGGGCACGATTTTTGGCGCCGGTATACTGCCATCATCCGACGCATTTTCAGCCTCGATTCTGGCATCAAGGTTGGGTAAATCAGTAGGACCACCAGAAGCACAGCAGTCTAGGCATCGAGCTAATCTGCACGGTCCATTCACGAACCGAGACTTGTTTAGCCATGAGAGATGTTCTCATCCGTGCGAAGCATGTCGGCGCCGGTGAGCAACTCAACAGCCGTGAGCTTTTGACGAAGGACTTGCGACGAGCCAGGAAGGCGGCACCAGCAGCCATCGCGGTCGTCGTAAGAAAAGGGAGAACGACGAGTGCACCGATGATGAGGGGGAGGGGGGACCGCGGCTGCTGAGTTCCACACTCTACGAGCACCGTTATGACTGTGGATCCGGAAGGCGATACTCTACTATCCTGTTCTGTACCAGGCACTCGTCACGCACACAGGCTCTATCACTCAAATCGCGTTGTCCGACATAACGAAGACCCAAACTCACCTTACCGAACCATATCTTGAAGGACGGAGATATACTAATGTCGCACCGGGCACCTCAGAGCAATCAGTCTCGGTTCACTAGGTTCGTGGTTTGATATCAAGCACGTATGTATTCATATGATGCTCAGGGTCTGGTAGACACTATGGGACGCGAATCCAAGACTACACCCGTGTGACCACTGACCTATCAGCGCCGCTACAGCCATCCTCCGGAGAGCTCAGACCCACATGAACTGTTCTTCTGTCCACTCTGCTTCAACTCCTCGATAGTGCGCAATCTCCCATGTATAGATAGTTCTCTGATGGTCTGTGGCCTGCTGGCGCACAAGGGCTAATAAGGAGAGGCTCACGTCAACCACGTCACGATTGATCTCGAACATGGCCGACACCAACTCCCGGCGTGCACGCAATGCGTCGTAACGCCAGCGCGTAAGTCGTGCCCGCGCCCGTTCGATTTTACGTTGAGCAGAGCTGATCGCTTTAGTGACCAGCCATTGGCGTCTGTTCTGGCGGTTCGTAGCCTCAATGGCCTTAAGATCTTGAAGAAGCGGTTGATCGCGAGCCAACAGCGACTCGTCCCACCACCAGCCGGGGCGTTCCTGGAACGATGTAAACGTTAAGCAGATACGACTGTCGTTGATGCGCACCTTGTATGGCATGTGAGGATGCGGGTAATAGAAGGTAATGTGGGCACGATGGAGATGCCAGGAAATGTGCTCCCAGGCCACCGCGTCGACATAGCGGAGGAATGCCCAAGGATCCTGTCGGCGAAGGCGAACCCTACCACTGTCCCCGCGAATCATCATGCTATCGAAATCGCCGGCCAAAGCCACGACGACGTCACACTGCGCATTGGTGAGATTGAACGGCCGAACGCTCTCGCGACATCGCTCAACAGGGCAGCGCCAGACGTCCGTATTGGCAACGAGCTGGTCCGAAGGACGAATGCAGGGATTGGATAGGCCAGGGAGCGCCTCGCAGACAGCCTCTTGCAGGCGATTGTCGCACTCGTCGTCCTCGCATATGGATATGCGCGGCGCATCGGAGGTGTCAGTGATAATCGTGCTCTGTTCTGCTATCGTGGATTGAAGGTAATCGCTCCAGTTGCTGGAATCTTGGTCTACACACGCGTATATGAACGCAGAAGCCTGAAAAGTCGATGAGGCCCGGGTCTCACCGGGCGGCAAGGTAATAGTACAAACCATATACGTTCTGTAATGAGCCTCGCGCCCACTGTCACCGTCGGGATCGGTCGATTCCTCTGTGCTCTGGACATCGAGACCTTGAAGCGCACGGAAGAAATCGGGAGGAGCACCCAACAGAGTTTTGTCAGTCATGGTGTTGCAAGCAGACCGACGCCACCCCAACCATAGCCGCCTCGTTATATGAGAAAGGATTTCGGTACGCATCCTCGCTGGAATGGACAAAGCCAACCACGTGCGGAGTATTGACTACTCACTAAGAACACTATTTCATACTCTCCCGATAGGCAACCGTCTTTCTTGGAACAGAATGCTTCTACCCACCGAGACTGATTGGTGCGAGCAGATGACACTACGCAGCACAGTTTCGCTGTATGGTGCTCTCAGGGTTGCACTCAGCGCCGAACCTTGGCAAACCGGTGAAGATGCCTCCGGCCCAGCCTCTTATCTTGACAGATGAGCGCCGACCTTGGCATTGACAGCCCACTGTCATGACAGCAGATTGGGTGAGTTGGGTGTGTCTACGTCTCCTGTGCCACATGATCAAGCGGAGCTACTTCACACCAGATCTGGCATACGTATCACAGCAAAGGCCCAGGCGTACTCATTTCCAATATGTGAGGCCGACGAGACCGACAGAATCGCATGGTTTTAGGGTATGACATAACCGCTATAGGGCCGCGCGCGGCAAGACCCGCTACGGTCAACAGGCGTTGCTAGCTTTCCATTGAATCAAATCGTGAGCGCGCCGGCAGTGCTGAGGTTCGGCTTACCAGTCCCCGCGCTCTGCGCGCGCGCGTTGCCGCTTCGCGAGCGGGACGCTGCGCCGCAATGCCACGGTCTACCACGGTTTGAGAAGCTCTCAAGATGATCGTATTCCCTCAGTCCGTCTGTAGAGTATGAAGCTCATATACCCTCCTCAGAGTATTGTATAAAGCAATCAGCTCGTCAGCCTAACAGGGTGGGACGCCGGGTCGAACGGGAGCCTTTTGACAGTGTCCATCTGCACCGCACCGTATTTATTCGAGGCATTTCATTGAAGCGAGGTCGTCTCGGCGCCGCATGTTCCCTAGTCCTGGAATCGTGCATCGTGTTCAAACGACTGCTCTACGCAAGGTGTTTTATGATGCCGGGGAGTCGGCGGTAGAACCATGTACGATCTCAGTACATGGAGTCAATCGTAACTGGCAAGGGCAGTAAAGCTACAATTATATCGAGACAGTGTTGCGCGAGATAAGGGGCCACAGCATGTGTACAGAACTGGACAGAGAGTCTGGCTGGCTTGAGCAGTGAGGGATGGTTCGAGGAAATGGGCGAGTCCTACAAAACTACGCTCAGGTGGGGACGGAGGTAGTGCACGAGGGGAGGCTCGACAGACTTTCTGCTGAGCTATATCTTCGCCCGCGGGAGGTGGGAGCTAGCAGGAGCAGGCGTGGCCGGTGCTCGCTCGCCGAGCGTCGCGACCCAGGCGTCGACGCGATGCATCAGCTGCGACATGCATTCGCGGAATGTGAACTGTATGCAACGTGCATCTAGCATTGAACGCAGTGGTCGACCCGGGTCATCAGGGGAAGCTGGGAGATTGCGAGAGCAGCGCGCGCGACGCGCATAGAGGTGGTGGTATGTACACCGCAAATCGGCCGAATC